TTTCCATTGAGCCTTTTAAAAAATATTTTATTTTTATTTTATGTGTATGAAAGTATTGCCTGCATGTATGTAAGTGCACCCATGTTGTGCAATGCCCTCTTCGTCAGATCCCCTGGAACTGGAGTTACAGATGGTTGTTAGCCACCATGTGGGTGCTAGGACTCAAACCCGGGTCCTCTGCAAGAACAGCCAGTGCTCTTTAACTGCTGAGCCATCTCTCCAGCCCTTCCAGTGAACCTTTTTAAGATCAACAACTCTTAAGTCTTTTTGTTGCAAGGTGGATGGTCCTGCTGGAAGGGACCTGGTATGGAGATGGTTCCTATACTAAGTGTAATCCTACCTCCTTCTGTCAGTTGAGCAGAGGCTCAGCCTCCCCACCCCCATCCCTCTCTCAGGCCTCCTGGTGACTCAATGATCCACAAGCTTGATCTTGAAATTTTTAAAGGAAAGCAGGTGAAAGGAAGGAGGGACAGCAATCACAAACTGGGAATGGAGGGTGGTACCTGAAGCTCATCCTAGTCTTTCCTTGCCAGAGGGAACTTTAACAGCTCACCCTGTGGTGCTCGAGGAAGTGGTGGGGGCAGTGCTGGTCCTACTGTTTACACAAGTGAAGACCCTAAGTGACTTCCTTCATGATCACCTAAGAGGTTAGATCAGAGAGCTTCCTGCTAGGGGGAGGCAGAACTGACAGACTGAGGGTGGGTTCTGAAGGCAGATCATAAAAATCAAAGAAAAATAGAGGTCCAAAACGAGAAACTGGAGAAAGCAGGAAGTAATGACCATTGTTTGTATGGTTTCCCATCTGCCCGTGCTAGCTTCCTGACGACCTGACTGGGACATCCTTGTGCCCCTTCGCCACCACCCTCAGTCACCAGGGCATGCATCTTGCTGAGGTCACATGTCCTCAGAGTGCCTCTGAGTTTCAGTCTAATGACCTTACCTCCTGTCAGACATGGTCAAAAAGATTCCTGTGCCTCACAACCTCAGGGCAGGTCATGAGGCCCTAACAATGCAGCAGCCACATTCACTGCCTGCGGATCTTAGCCAATGGAGGAAATGAGGCTTGTCTGGCAGGACTGGCTCAGCCAGACAGACCTCATTTCCTTTCTGACAGGGCAACAAGTTCCAATTCTCTATCTCAGACAGGGTCTCACTATCTAGTCTAGGCTGGCTTTGAATTCATAGTTCTCCTGCCTCAGCCTCCTGAATGCTGAGATTACTTGTGTGAATCACCACACCTGTTCATTCTGGGATTTTAACTTTACAAGTTGCAAAGCCCTGGGTTCACTGTGATTTGATAAGAGATACACATTTGACCTTTGCCCCTGGTTCCTGGCACAGAGTTCTTAAAACCTTTCTACTTTTCTGAGCGACAGCAGTGATGAAATCTTCTAACATTTTTGGCGTTTGCCAGTGGCTCCTAACTCCTAAGGAATCTCCTGCAAGACAGGAATGTCCTTTTAGTGAGGTCACTCCTAGTAGATTCCTGGGTGGGGGCTGGATACTAGGAAGACAAAACCATGATTAGAAGCTTGGAACTTTCAGCCTCACCAGCCCTCCCCTAGTGGGGAGAGAGTAGAGAGGGGCTGAAGGTTGAACAGATCACCAACATCATGTGTGCGTGTGCATGTGTGTGTGTTCAGCATATCACAAGAAGCTTCCAGAACCCTCCCAAACAACAGTGTATGGATGAGCTAACACAAGGAGGTGTCTGAGGGAAGGCTCAAGGCTCCCCTCCTCTTTCGCAGACCACACCCTCTGCATCTCCATATGGCTGTTCACTGGTATCTTTTGGAGCAGCCTTTATTCACTTATTTTATTTGTATGTGTGTGTGTGTGTGTGTGTGTGTGTTGCATGTGCGTACATGTGCTATGTGCCCACACACTGGAAACCAGAGAAAATCTTAGGGTATTTTTCTCTATCAACAGCTGCGTTATAGCCATGCCTGGCTTTTTACCTGAGTGCTGGGTACTCAAACCCAGGTTCTCATGCCTGCCTAGCAAGGAATCTGAGCCCCCTGAGTCATCACCTTGGCCCCAATATCCTTTATTATTACTTATATTTATTATTATTGAACCCAGGGCCTCACATGTTGGGCAAGTACTCTGCTACTGAGCTATATTTCTAGCACTTTTTGGTTTTTTGAGACGGTCTTGTTCAGTAGACCAGGCAGTCCTTGAACTTTTATGATCCCTCTCTGCCTTAGCCTCCAGAGTAGCTGGGATTACAGGCCTGAGCCACCACCAGATCTGGCCTGTGATATCATTTTTTGTTTTGCTTATTTTTATTTTTATTATTATTTTTATCTTATGTGTATGAGTATATTGCCTGTATGGATGTAAATGCACCCATATACATTTACCTCTGACCTGCAGAGGTCAGAAGAGGGCATCAGATCTCCTGGAAATGGAGTTACAGATAGCTGTTAGCCACTACGTGAGTTCTGGGAATTGAACCCAGGTACTCTGTGAGAGCAGCCAATACTCTTAACTGCTGAGCCATCTCTCCAGCCCCTGTGTGATAACCCTTTATAACAAACCAGAAGTACTCATTTCCCTGAGTCTGTGAATCATTCTGGCAAATGAGGTGAATGAAAAAAGATCACAGGAATCTACAGCCAACTGGTCAGTAGCACGGGTCACAACCTGTTACTGGCTGTTGATGTCAAAGGTGGGGCAGTCTTGTGGATAAGTCATTAGCCTGTGCAATCAAATTGTGACTCCAGGTAGATGGTGTCAGAATGAGTTACACTGGAGGCAACCCTGCTGAAGTCCATGAAAGTGTTAGTGTTTGCTGGTGGGAGAAAGTCCACACACCTGGTGTCAGACATGAAGTGCTGAGAGGAAAACGCAGCTTTTTTGTCAGACTCGATGCTGCGGCACGATGTCCAAAGGCCCAGATGTATGCTATTTTAAGGTCACATCTGAACATCTGCACCTTTGCTACAAATGCTCAGGTCTGAGGCCACTAGGAATTCCTCCAGGAGTCACACAGCTGAAAGGAAACAGCCAGGTGGCCCTGGGTGGGGCACTTCTTTCATAACTGATGCTACGTTCACTGCTTCATCCTTGCAAGGTCCACAGCTCCCTCAGCCTGGACAGCAGGTACAGCCTCTCCTGCTTACTGGCTTCCTTTAGCACCTTGCTTCTGGAGTGCCAATTCAAGCTAACCAAGTTGTAAAGCCTGATGCATGTGCTGTAAGAAGGAGGCACCTAGAATATACTGTCTCAAGTACCTGGTAACAACCAAGATCTTTTTCTAATAGACAACAGTGGTTAAGAGCACAAACTGTTCTTGCAGAGAAACTGAGTTGGTTCCTAGCACTCACATCAGGAGGCTCACAACCACCTGCTCCAGCTCCAGGGGATGCCCTCTTCTGACCTTCAGAGGCACCTGCACTCACATGCACATACCTATACACAGATAAACCTAGTAAGAAAAATAAAATCTTTTTTTTTTGGTCTTTTTTGAGACAGAGTCTCCTTGTAGCCCCAGCTGGCCTGGAACTCACTATGTAGACCAGGCTGGCCTTGAACTCACCGAGATTTGCCTACCTCTGTCTCCCGAGTGCTGTGCCACCGTGTCTGATGAAACAAGTCTTTTTTAAAAAAAAGTAAGATACTCAGGCATGGTACATGTCTTTAATCCCAGTGCTTGGGAGGCAGAGGCAGGTGGATCTCTGTGAGACCAAGGCCAGTCTGGTCTATATAGTGAATTCCAGGTCAGCTGGGGCTATAGGGATACCCTGTCTTAAAAGACCAAAATAAAAAAATCTTTATGGGACTGAAGAGACAGTTCAGAGCTGATTGCTCTCACAGAGGACCTGGGTTAGGTTCTTAGCACCGACATGGCTGCTAACTACCATTCCAGTTCCAGAGGATCCGATGCCTTCTTCTGACCTCCATGCGCACTTATATACATGTAAGCGAAACCCTCATATACATAAAAATCATGAAAATTTAAAAATATTTTATTATTATTTTATGTGTATGTGTGTATTGCCTGCATGGAGGTAAGTGCACCCGTGTCATCCAATGCCCATGGAGGACAGAAGAGGCTGTCAGATCCCCTGGGACTGGGGTTACAGACAGTTGTTAGCTGCCATGTGGGTCCTGGGATTCAAACCTGGGTCTTCTGCAAGAACAACCAGTGTTCTTAACCGCTGAGCCATCTCTCCAGCTCAAAAACTATGAAATTTTTAAAAAGTAAAGACACTCATATCCCTCTCTTTGGCTATGAGATCACTGAGATAGTGTTCTCCAAGGAACTGGACTTTCCCCCCAAGAATCTCACGTTCAGAGAAGGAAAGGGTGAAGACACAGTGCTTTCACACAGTGTCAATAACTTGTCAAATGATTCTGCAGGAGGATGCGCAGGACTCCTCCTCCTCAAGACTGCTGAGGCCTCTATTTAAACCTAAACATGTGTGAGGGACTCTGAAAATAGACTTGGGAGAGGGATTTCCACTGGACCTCTTTGCTCTTTCTCCAAATGCTGTGACATTTGGATAAATCTCCATTTCCTGCTTGTCACTGTTACATGTTTAATTGGCTTACTGAGGACAGGAGGCTGAACCTGGCTTCTTAGGGGGGCTCCAACACCAACTCTAGTTAATATCTGGTTAAATTTCCTGGGCTGGCAAGAAACCCTATTTTGAGTAATATGAGACTTAAGTTATGCTGTTAGTACCTTACAGGAATAGCTGAGATCCGTTCTGAACTGCTGTAGCATTTGTTGAGAATAGCAGACTGCGGGCCAGAGAACTGCTAGGGACAATTCTGCTTTGAAATAGGTAGACACTGTATAGTATCTGTGAGGTATTGTCATTGGTTTAAACATATAGCATCTCTTTTAAGTCTAAAATGGTCTCTATATGGTATTATTCCCATTTACAGTAAGATAAATGAGGCTCGGATGGGGAAACTTGACTTCAGGGAGGCACGTGTATTCCACTGCTCCCCAAAGAACCCAAAACTCTTAGAAGAGAAACCACTCACAGTTACAAAGATAAGGTCATTTATTCATGTTATATTACTGCATTTCAAAGGCAAAAATACAGTTATCTGTTCTGAACATCAAGGTCAGATACATCCCCCTCCCAAATCCCTGTGGTAAATACACACATTTGCATACACAAAATACCAAATACACAGCATCACAGGTCTCAAGGACAGCCTAGTGGTCAGTGGACACCCTATGGACTGTAGGCCAACACAGCATTTCCTTTGCCCTCCTGTGCCTCTGATCTTTCTAAAGGCCACTCCACACTGGTCATCAGCAAAGGGATAGACAGAGAAAGGCACAGCATATGATACCACGGTCATAACTCCTAGGTAAAGGAAATGCTCCCTGAACCCTCAGTCCTCAAATTTCCAGTGAGAACACTGACTACAGCATCTCCCCAGCGAGGTCAATGCCCTGGCCCAACAGTGTCTTGGTTGTGCCTCTGGCCTGGGAGGTGGGTGGGGGGTGAGCCCTGAGAGCTCTGGAAGATCAACAAATGGGGCAAAAGGCAAAACAATTTCCCTTGGTTCTAAGAATGAACTGCATACTTGACATGAACAAAACACAACAGGAACAAAAAAGAGAAAGGGCAGAATTTTGTTTTACAAGCAAAGGAGGAAACAGAAGATACCACCGAGGGCATGTGTCTCCTCCTTTCTTTTAAGGCACTTTGGAAACATCTGGATCTGAGCGCAGAAAGGCCTTTGCATGTCCCCAAATTCCTCTCAGTGCACTCAGTCTAGTTCTAGTGACTTCCTAAAGCATGGGTAACTTAAAGAAGTGTCTGCCCTGCATAGCGCCACTCCTTTTGCAGGGGAAGATGGCTTCTAACCCATACAAAGGCTTCTGGAACAAGTAGCAAGTTAGAATCTGTGATGCTCAAAGTGATAAAGGCATAGGTAGGATCAGGGCCAGGCATCACCTCAGCCTCTGCACTCAGGGCTGAAGCCCACAGGATAAGGATGACAAGCAGAAGGACTCAGCTCTGGGATTAGACAGCTGAACCTCCACCGGGGCTGTACCTGGCAAGTTGCTCATGGCTTGATGGACTGAACGCCTCCTGTTATCTCACCCCAGACCACTTCACATCACCCAGCACAGGTGAGTATGTGAATGACACCCCTGTATGTTAGCCCAAAGACTGGGAGCATCTGCTAAAATTCTGAGCAGTGAGGGGAGGCTTTAGGCACCAAAATTCTCTGGAGGAATGGGATGTGGGTTTGACTGAATGTTCTAGATTTCTAATTAAAAGGCATGAATAGTCTGTTTGACCCTGAGTGCTGTATGCAAGTCTTGGGGAATGGAGCAAAGGAATGAAAGGGAGAAAGATAGCAGAAAGGCAGGGCCAGGAAGGCCAGAGGAAAGGCAAGAACTGGTAATGGTGGGTCAGGGAATGTGGCGCAGGGGCTCTTGTGAGGGTGGCCCCCTGCCAACCTCAGGAGGGGAAGGTGAGTTCTGCTCAGCAGACAGATGCTATCTCCCAAGTTCCTGACCCAGAGGTCTGGCAGGATAATGCTGACAGGGAGGCCTTGTCCTCATCAAGGGACCAGAGGTGATTTTGCTTTTCATAAAACCTGGCCTGCCAGCTAAATAAGAGGCCCATTTGTGGCCACTACAGCATACATTATTATTTTTTTTCCTCTAAAAATATTCAATCCCTTCCCCACATTGAAAATACCACAATAAAAATAGAAAATTCAAGTTTACATAACATGCCCAGACAAATAAATTGTGACTTAACACTAAACAGCTATTCCAATTTTGATCAACATGAAATCAAGTTATACTATAATTAGAACTCAATTTATTCTTAAAAAAAAAAAAAACCTTTACATTCATAAATGAATCCATCTGGAACTACGCCACTGTGAGGGCACCCAAGGCTTCTCTGAGCTCAAGGCCTTAGAATCCACACTAGCAGGACAGAAAGTTCCAGGCTCAAGTTTTAAAACTCTTTTGCTAAGAACACACACACACACTCAGTGAGTGTAATAGTTGCACATCAATGAAAAAAGATGGGAGTGGGACAGGAGACTGATTGAAATTTTATGTTTTTCTGTTTTTAAAAAAAGACAAAGAATATCATACTGATCTGAATTCAGCAGCAGTCTCCAATTTGTCATGAAGTACAAACATCATTGATTAAAGCACAGTTATTACCCATTTCACAATTTAGCATTTTCAATGTACAGTTCTGACTCTTTGGGGTGACACTATGAACATGTCCAAAAAGCCCCCAAAGGCTGATAGCTTTTCCACTGACAAACACCTTGTAGAACTCAATCACTACATTGAATGCAGAGCCGAGTTGGGGGTAAACATTCTATTTATCCTGGTCGTCTGGAAAGGCAGCTGAACGCTGAGCAAGGACACCTAGCACTCAGATTGTACAAACGAGAGGGACCAGCCCAGCTGACTGGCAAAGACACACAGCAGCGGTCCCTGGCCATTTCAGGTCTCTTATTTGCATCAAAATGCTAGCTCGGTGTCCCGATGTCCACTGTGATTTTGGTATACAATGGGTATCGATTTATGTCCAATACCTGGTAGGTAAGTGAGTTCAAACCATCCAAGTGCATAGTCTCTTTTGTGTGTGCAATCCGGTCAAACCTACCAGGAAAAAAAGGACAAGGAGAATGAGTCAAAACAGAAATCTTAAGGAAACTGGTCAACATGTGTACTTCTTCCTTATCTGCCCTTTGGATGGCTGCCACAGACAGAATACCTTACTTCACTGGAGGCACAGGGTCCTGTGCAGAGCCTCTGACTCACAGCCTGCTCCACTCTAAAGGGGGGAGAAGGAATAAGAATACACAGAACCTACCTCTGAGGATTGGGCTCATTTTTCTTATCTCTTGAGTGCCGGATCATGCGACACCTCCCAATCATAGCATTTGGTCGAGAGATAGACATGCCTTTATAAACTAATCTGCAAAGAGTAAAGGGACAACCATTACCACAGAGCTGTCACAAGGCTTGGGTCTGGTAACGCAGCTGCAAGACCACAGTCCAATCCATGAGCCCTATAGCTGTTCTCATGAAACCCAGAATGACCTTAGTTAACACTCACACTCTCCCCATATCCTTCCAGTACAGATTCTGTAATTTGTAGTGTTTGATTCATACAAATGAAGAGTGGAGGCTCAGAACATGGGGCCTTTGGCGCCAGGCTAGAGGTGAGAAGGGAAAAGCAAGGTCTGGGGAAGGAGTAGAGAAGCAACTCAGTCAGGGAGAGACTGAGCAGGGTTAAGTTGTGAGGGCAAGTAAGTGCCGCTAGTGTAGTTTGGGCAGTCAGGACAGTGCAGGTAAAGGCATGGAAGTGAGAGCAAGCACAGTGCCCAGGGATGGATGAAAGGGGTTGGAAGAGGAAGTAATGGCTGATGAGGCTGAAAAGAAGGGGGAGGCTCAACTGAGGAGGCCTTCTCAGGTCACACCACAGAACAGTGCCAGTGTCTAAAAGGAACATGATGTGCAGCATTTCTGAATGACTGTGGCCATGAGGAAGTCCCACTGTAAAGTAGTTTAAGACTGGAAAGCAGGGGCTGACAAGACAGCTAAGAGGGTAAAAGTGCGGGCTGCTAAGCCTGATGACCCGAGTTTGATCCCTAGAACCAACATGTTGGAAGGAGAAAACTAATTCCAGAAAGTTACCCTCTAACTTCCACACGTACATGTGAGGGTATACACACACCCACATATATGCAATAAATAAATGCCCCCTCCTCCCAAAAAAGAATGCACAGAACAAGACTGGTGGCAGCCAGAGCAGGGTGAAGGGTTCTGTGTTGTGAATCATGGGCTAAGACCCCAAATCAAAGGATCAACAAGAATATCAAAGATAGGGGAAGCATCCAATCTAGATGAGCTATGTTTCTTTTTCCTCTCTTATTTTATTTGTTATTTTTATTTTATGTATATGAGTATATTGCCTGCATGTATGTCATGCAATGCCTGTGGCAGTCAGAAGAAGGTATCAGATCCCCTGGAACTAGAGGTATGGATGGTTGTTAGCCACCATGTGGGTGCTGGGAACCGAACCCAGGTACTAAAAGAGCAGCCAATGTTCTTAACCACTGAGCCATCTCTCCAGCCCCTGGATGAGTTATGTTTCTGGCCTCGCTGTCCCTGAGGGCTTGTCCTGGTGTCTGACATACAGTAAGCAGCTGCATAAAAGCCTTGTCTCTGAGAAGCTGCTCCAGGCACCACTCATCCTTCTAGTCCCTCCATCTCGGCATGTGAGTCCTCAATGCTTCTTCCCTCCCCAATCTTTCTGATTACTCAGGTCTTGCGAACCTTTCTGACTATTCAGGTCCCTCCCCAACCTTTCTGACTATTCAGGTCAGCAGTCCAGAGTGTTTTCCCAGGTACAATTCTGTAGGAGCAGGTGTGTCTCTGTCTGAACCCTATGTACAGGCTTGAAGTGTCTTCCTGCTGGGAGGGCCTTGAACAGTGATCTGTAACACAGTAAACGCTCAAGATGTGCATGCTTAATATCCAGTCTGCATACTTGAAAACTGAAGTTTCTTCCAAAGCCTGTATTAAAGATTGGGGCTACAGTTCTTATAGAACAGTAAGAATGGCATGGGTGTTGCCCTGACAGACACCTTTTGTTAACTGATCTAATTCAGGACAGTTACATTTAGGTATGTTTTGGCGTCAAACTAAGTGATGAGTTCAGATTGGCTCCCAGATGGTTTTTACCACCTGCAGGCAGGAGACACATTTACTAGTTTAAAAAGTGCCTGGGGTTATGGATAGGACAAGACTGGTCACAGCATGATGAGTGTGGATCAGGTGGGTCCACGTAGGCTCATTAATTACTGTCTTTTTTTTTTTTAAAAAAAGATTTTCTTTTTAATAATGCATGTATGTGTGTCTGTGTGCACATGTGGGTACTGGTGCTGCAGAGTCCAGAAGAGGGCACTGGATCCTCTGAAGCTAGAGTTACAGACAGTTGTGAGCTGCTAAATTGGGGTGCTGGGAACCAAAGTTGGGTCCTTTGTAAAAGTAATATACATATACTCGAAACCAGTGAACCATCTCTCCAGGTCCCTACTCTGGCTTTTATTTGGGGTTAAAATATTCCAAAATAAAATTATGGCATAAAGATTCCATGATAAAAGTTAGGATTCTGCCCAAGGAAACCTGCTTTATATTGAGATGCAGAACTTTTTTTTTTAAAGGCAGAGTTTCAAATCTAGGGACTCTCTTGTCCCATCTTCTCATCTTGCATAGGCACATGCACTACAACATCTGGCTGTATGTGGGTCCTGGGCATCCAAAGTCATGTCCTCATGGTTCCAAGAGCAAGTGTTTCACCCACTGAGCAATATCCTTGGCCAAGATGCTGAATTTTTTAAAGGACATAGGTTTACTCTTTCAATGTACAAAATGTCACGGAGGAAGTCAAGGTAAACTTGCCCCTTCACTTGGCTCTCATTTTTCACTTCCCAAGGCTATTCTAAAATCACAGAAGCTCATTTTCCTAAAGACCCTGCTGAGTACCTACAGGACCACAAGAGCATCAGGCACATGAGCTAGGTGGAGGCTGCTCCCTCCTGAGGGTCAGTCCTTCCAGAATAACCAAGTGCTGACTCAAAATCTGGAAATGAATCCTGACAAGGGAGAAAGAGAGAAACCATGATCATTACCTGTTAAAAATGTCATCATCTTCTCCTCCCCAGCCCCAATAATTATTAGGAAATCCATTGATGGCAAGAAACTGTTGTTTACTGAGAGCAGAGACACCTCCAAAATACTGAACATAAGGCAGGCTGGTGAGAAAACATGTAGAGGACCCACAATTAGTAAGTTTTGACATACCCCAAGTAACAACTTGGAATACACAAACATTTTTGAAATTACTCCTTAGTCACTAGGATTTTGTTTGCTTGTTTGGTTGCTTATTTAGGTTTGTTGTTGTTGTTTTTGGTTTTTTTGAGACAGGATCTCCTGTAGCCCCAGGTGACCTGGCCTGGAAATTGCTATGAAGATCAAGCTAGCCTCAATCTCACAGAGATCCACCTGCCTCTGCCTCCTAAGTGCTCGGACTAAGTTGTACACCACCACACCTGATCATTACTGTGATTTTTTTTGGTGAGGGAATTTGTGAGGGTTTAAAAAAATATTTTTTATGTATTATTTTTATTTTATGTGTATGAGTATATTGCCTGCATATATGTAAATGTACCTGTGTTGTGTAATGCCTGCAGAAGTCAGAAGAGGGCATAGGATTCCCTGAACTGGAGTTACAGATGGTTGTTAGCCACTATGTGGGTGTGGGAACTGAACCCAGGTCCTCTGCAAGAGCAGCCAGTGCTCTTAATCACTGAGCCATCTCTCCAGCCACAGTTTTTTTTAAATAAGGATTTTCTTTGTTTAATTTGCTTTTTTGTTTCTTTAAAGAGCCAGTTCATTTACTCACTATCCTTCCAAATCTACCCTTGAACCACCAAAACAGTTCTCTTGGTTTTTGATGCCTAATTTGCTTTTCTATCAGGGCTCAGATTATCTTAGAGACATATACATACATACACACATATATACATATATATATGTATATAAAATGCAGAATGTTCTTCTATGAATACAGTGTTGTTCCTTCAGTTATTTTGAAAAGCAGTCAGTGATTTGAGTGGGTACAAATCCAGGTCTTCCACTATGGCTTAGAAATCTACTTTCTGTGCACCTTGTTCCTGCAAAGAAGTCCTCATCCAGAAGGCCCTGTATTGGAGATTAAAGTCCCTGGCCCTACTCAGTCATTCCCTGCCTCTTGCTCCAGCCTATCTACCAAGTGATCTCTCCTTTTTCCAAAGGCCCATGGCTTGGACACTAACCTTAACAATGGAGGATGGATTATGAAACAAAACACATTAATTTACTTATTAAACTTAAGATTAAACAACAGATTACAAGCTATGTTCCATACATTCCAATATGGTTTGGATCACATTGCTGCCCCTGGGGCAGGAGGAACTGACCTCCTTTTCATTAACACTCCAGAGAAAAAGTTTGGGCTCCACGTTTAAGCAGAAGCCTGCACTCTTGGAAACAGAATCAATCATGTTCCTCTTAAAGAGCCAAGGGAACACCTGTAGAGGTATCCCACCTCAAGAATTCAGTTGTGTGTTGGCAGTGCACATTTCTTTCCAAACTACGTGGGGCAGAGGAGAGCAGGAAGTGAGGAAATCTCGCCACTGTCTGGAGCCCAGCGATGAAAGGCATTCCAAACAGTAAAGACTGTTCCTGTCAGGATGCACTCTTCTTTCCTTCTCCAGCAGTAACTGACTGCAGATTTTAAAAAAGAAGCCATTTCTCAGAGGTGGCATTCTCCTGTAGAGTCTATAGGCATTGCTGGGTGGAGGAATTACATTTCCTAGTCCATACATGAAAAAGCAACACATTTACTGCTGACTCTAGCTAAGAATGTCTTACCTAAACCCAAATTTGTCCATCGCAACAGAAATGTGCCGAGGCTGTGAGAAACACCTGTAGGCATTATGGTCGTTCATCGGAATGAGGTCCACATCACTAAACACAAAGCAGTTGTAGTCATAGTCCTTCAAGGCCTCTTGAAAGCCAATATTAAGGAGTTTAGCACGATTGAACATGGTTTCTCCAGCCTGATGTAGAAATAAAAAAGTGGTATTAGATTCCACAAGGCCTTTGAGCAGAACACTCATAGAGAGGGTGACTTGTCTACTACACATGGTCATTAGTCAACTGTTGGGCCTCATTTTTCTATCCTTCGCAAATCAATCCTGAATGTCAATAATTTGAGTTGTCGATGCCACTTAATATGAATCTGTCCAGCAGAAGAGCTTGCATGTGTTTGAAAAACTATGAATAAAACTGTTCACTGTGACGCGTTCACCACAGCAGCAAACTGCAGTTATATAAGCATCACTGGGGAACTGGTTAAACAAGTCACATACAACTACACCATGGAATTGTTAAAAAAAAAAAAACAGTAAGGGCCAGGCATGGTGCTGCATACCTCACCTGTAATCCCAGCACCTAGAAGGCCCAAGTATGTAGATTATGGGTCTAAGGCCAGTCAGTGCTACATAGAAAATTCCAAGGCAGCGTGGGACACAGAGCTAGACTCTGTCTTATTCCAGAAATGAGACACAGGAAATGGTGACAGTTGGGTGTCTTTTCACTTCTATTCTCCATTGCAGTTTGAGTGCCACATTGTAGGACATCTACATATCTATCAGGCCCTAAACCAGATGTTAGAATGTGGTGAACCCAACTCAATCCCTGCCCTCGGAGTGCTCAGTAGGAAGCAATCAGATACACAGGACAGATCAGAGAAGGAGCACCTGCTTCAGGGTGCTGGCTGCTGGGGCTAAAGTGCCAAGTCTGCTGCTGTAAAGACCCTTCACATTTCAATGACTTGTTTATTTTCAGTGTCCTCCACTAAATTAAAAGCATAATAAAGGCTTATACTTTTGTTTTTCATTCACCTAGTGCCCCATTGTCATAAAATAACAGCTTAATAGTTGCTGGTTAGATGGATGGATAGATGTATTGATGGAGGGAGGGAGGGAGGGTGGGAAGGAGGGAGGGATGAATTTCAATGTGCAATGGCAGATAGCAGCACTTTCTGGGAAGCTCCAACCAAAGCAGTTCCTTGGGGGTCACTATGCTCTAACCAACTCCTGTGACCCAGGGTTAGCAGAGATGGTCCAACACAGCCCCTGCTGCCCTTCACATGTAGCAGTTTACCAAGCCCTTCTTGAACATGTGCTGTCATCCTGACCACATAGCACTTTTATGAAACAGAAGGTTCCACACTTTTGAAGTCCTTACAGATTGCTCTTTTCCTCACATCTCCCCATATTGGGGCCCTTACTTTGAATATCACTGTTCCAACTGTTCTACAAGGGCCTATAATCCATACCTAATCTCAGAAGTGGGAGGTGCAAAGTCCTCTGCATGTGCCTGGAAAAGAACTTGGAAACTGGCACTCCACACAATGCCCATCAGCCTTAGGTGGATGATGCAAAAACAAACTATTTAGAGAATGGCGGGTACCAGGAAGTCAGAAAACATAGACAAAGAACAATAAATGAATTAAGGAACTATGTGGCACACAAGAGCTCCTTTCTTCAGCCCCTAACGAAACTTTCTAACTATGCACGGTGAAAGAAGGCTGTGCCCAAAGGCACACTGTGTTCTTTGACTGCTCCACCAGTTAAAAGCTGATCTAGAATTCTGGGTTCAATCAATTCTATGTAAGTCATGGGGAAACATGTTCAAAGAGCAGAATAGGAAAACTGAGAAGTTATTGGAACTACTGTTACTGTAATACATACTGCTAATATCCACTGGGGGGTACTGCATACGAGGCACAGAGGTAGAGCTTCTGTGCTTGTGGTGTATCACTCGACTATCTTGATGATCTTTTAACAGCCCTTACTCCAACCCAAATGACACTCTGGAACACAAAACCCCACTGATCATTTTTATAGTAAGTGAGAGGGGTACATTCCCAAAGCCTTTAACCCCTCTATAGTACATCCCAAGAGTACCTGCCAAGCTCACAACTATACCCTTTCTCTTGGCATGCTCCCAAGACCTGGGGCAGTGGCTCTTGGTGACTGGCTATCTCTATGCAACAAGACCTGTTGACCATGACTGTCTGATCTAAGTGGTCACCTGAGATTGAGCAGTGTTCACTTTCTAGGAGCTGGAAATTTGGAACTTGAACATGTGCTGTCATCTTGACCACACAGCACTGTTATGAAGCAGAAGGCTCCACACTTTGGAAGTCCTTGCAGATTGCTCTTTTTCTCATATCTCCCCAAGGCCCATGGACAATGGCAGCCTAGAGGAGAAACCCAAGCACTCCTGCTTTAGTCCTTTTCCCTAAGGGTGGCTGAACAGCTTCTTCAACTCAAAAAGGTACCCCAATATCTGAATCACACTTAGAACTGGTCAGTTTTTCCAAATAACCTGAACTACATTCTTCCCATGCCTCCTTTCCAGACTGGCCTCACCTCTATGAACCAAGAATGTAAGTATATGGTACAGGTTAGCAGATATACCATGGACCCCTAGGAACCCAAGTTGGACAGATGAGCAAAGTGTGTTTTCCTCCTTTGAGATTCCAGGAAAGTAAATAATTTTCTAGGCTTTTCTGGGTGAAACGCTTGGGCACTCACCTATTCACCTTTCTCTAAGAGATACTGAACCTTCCCAGGGATGGAAAGAACTACACCTACCACTCCTCACCCCCACTTCACTCCCACCCCTCTTTGCCCAGGGCACCTGCTACTTCAATCAAGCAGCTAGTGCCAAGCCAGGCGAAATACACAAGTGTGACAAGACACACATTTTCATTTCAGCTGCTTCACTTACTACCTACGTGATTTTGGATACATTATACCTCTGGCCTCAGTTTCCTACTTTGTTACACAGGGATGATACCAGGTTGGTTATATTGAATAAAATAGTTCATGAAAAGATCTTAGCACCACACGTGGTAACAATCAGCTATCACAAGTACAGGAATAGGTTTTCTTGTCTACCTTGAACCAGCAGACCATTAAGATACTTCTCAGTCCTAGGACTGCTTTCTAACACTGGAGAGTCTACCAACTTTAGTGTTTGCTTATGTCCTTCCCAACCAGCTTCGATTCCTCCCTCAAACCCTGCTTCTTTGACAGAGGGAATTCTTTTTTTAAAAAAAAAAAATATTTTATCTATTATTTGTATTTTATGTATATGAGTGTGTCGCCTGCATGTACGTAGGTGCACCTGTGTCATGCAATGCCTGCGGAAGTCAAAAGAGGGTGTTGGATCCCCTGGAAAGAGAGTTATGGGTGTAGTTAGCCACCATATGAGTGCTGGGAATTGAACCCAGGTCCTCTGCAAGAACAGCCAGAGCTTTTAACCTCTGAGCCATCTCTCCAGCCCTCAAAAGAGGGAGTTCTTAAAAAGAATTAGGTTTAACTGAATTAGTTCACATGATTAGATTCCAGCAGCAGCAAAACATCAGAGACCTTTAGTGACCTAGGGAAAGTATGGGAATGCACAGTGGTTAAGTTTGGTGAGGAGAAGCTATCACACAGAAGCAAATGTCCCTTTAAAAGATGAAGCCTGGCATGGTGGTACCATTCTAGCATTCAGGAGACAGGCAGATTTCTGTGAGATGAAGGCCAGCCGGGTTTACATAGCAAGTTCCAGGACAGCTGGGGCTACAGGAAGACCCCCATCTCAAAAAAAAAAACAAAAAAAAAACAAAAAACAGCCTTCTCATTTTGTTTCACTGAACACTGAGACAGGGTCTTACTATGTACCTTTGACTTGTATGTATCTTACTATGTAACACAAGATGGCCTCAAACTCCTAGAAATCTTCCTATCTCAGTCTTCTGAGTGCTGGGATTCTGAGCATGAGCCACCATGCTAAGCACAAAGAGTTTTTAAAGGTGGGCTTCTTTTCAGTTTCATGTTGGACAACAAGTCTTAACAATTATCCTTTCCTTCTAGGGCAACTGGCTGCTATTAGAGAGAGAAAACAAGAAGAAGAAAGACCCAAAGTAGCTAAAGTCCCTAAATGACTGTGCAGAGGCTGCTGTGGGCAGATGGGACCAGACAAAATCTGAGGGTTGTGAGGATGATGTTAGAAAAGTGTTAGTCCATGCAAAGAAAGGCAATGCATAGAGGGAGTATTTGCAAAGGCTATGAAAAAAGAGAACAGTCCAGAAAGTACAAAAAATTCAGAATGGGTTAAGCCATATGACATCTGAAAGTAGAGGTGGGCCAAATCATAGGCGGAGGAGGGCAAGACCTTGCTGAGATACTTAAAAGCTTTAACTTTATTTAGGCCATGGGAGCCTTAAACTGTGTTTTGCATGTCAAGGAGGGATTTGTGTCTCAATCTAAGAAAAGGCAAGGAGACAGTTCAGTTAGGTAGCTGTTGTATGATTCATAGAAGCCATGGAAGCCCAGGTAGTAATTAATGGTGGGTAAGTTTTGAATTCCTCCCCTTAGGCCCAAGGCAGAGGCTCTACTTCCTCCTCCATGCCCACTGGACCCTGAAGCACATAGTCTCATAAGCAGCCTTTGGGAAGTGGGGTGAGAGCAGTCAGGGCAGGTATCAAAGTCTAGTCTAAGCTCCAGGAAAATCCTGAGGGCAGTTAAGGAGGGTAAGAGTGGTCTCCCCCTGGCTGCAACAAGGATCTAAGGACCAAATGCAGAAAGCCATGGTCCATTTTGTGTAGGTCCCAACAGCCTCTAGAAGATTTGTTCTGTCCAGTCATTCTGTCTTCCTGGAATGCAAGCCTACAAGTGTCACCAGCAGATATATCCCCAGACCAGGATGGCTTGGGGACAGACCACATATGGCCTCTCTTCCAACAAAAGACACAGCAACAACAAGGTTGGTCCGAAGACTCTGTGAACCAGAATTTCTGTGATGGGAGAGAGAATTTGCTGTGGCCCATTACAAAGACGCCCCTACTTAGATGGTTATCCCCAGGATCACAACACCACGGATCCAGATACAGGTCTTGTGCTGGATAGCTTTAGTGTCAACTTGACACACATGGGTTGAGGGAGCCTCAATTGAGGAATTTCCTTCATTGGACTGGCCTGTGGCCATGTCCATGGGA